CTTCTTGCAGTTTTCTCTCACCGCACTTTGACCGCAAGGGTTAACGGTACACCATCCGAGGCTAACCCTATTACAACCGGTGTCCCTCGGTCCTCTTTTCTTTCTTATTTATATTAACGATCTACCTAGTGAATTACCTGCAAACGTAGCTATGTACGCAGATGATGTCACTATCTGGGGCACAGATACCTACACGCTACAGGCTTCTGTTGATGCTGTTAAACACTGGTCCGTTGAATGAAATCTGCCAATCAATGATGACAAATGTATAGGCATGACTTTTGGGAACTCCCCTCCTGTATCGTTTCGTATAAGTGATGCGCAACCGCTTCAGCATACCAACTTGAAAAAGGTCCTGGACCTCTGGTTAAATAGTAACCCCTTTTCTCACACCATAACCAGTTAGCCAGCAAATCTGCCTTCCGTGTTCTTCACCTTTTTCGCAGGTCTTTCCCCTATATCACCAAGAAAAACTTTCCACTCATTTATGGCACCTATATCCGTCCCCTCCTAGAATATGGTAGTCAAGCTGTTCATTCCGACCAGACCGTGATCGTGATGCTCTTGAAAGAGTTCAAAGAGCGGCAGCAAAAGCGGTGGTTGGAATGCAACACCTTCCCTATCCTGAAGGTCTAGTGGAGTTTGATCTGTATCCTCTGGAAGTCAGATGGATTAGGGATGACTCATTTCTTTTACATCACCTAGTCTCCTCGGGCCTAGTAGATAAATTCTTCACTCTAGCCCTGACGGGTGGAACACGTGGTAATAGCTAAAAGTTACCCCGCACCACCCTTTGCACATCTTTCTCCACTTTCAGGGCAATTTCACACTGGAGCGCATTGCCAGAAGAGATAGCCTGTTCAACAAGAAAAGCGTCATTAAGGTCTCGACATTGGCTACAGTTGTTCGACGATTCAACTCTGAGCCTAAATGGTTACGCAAATCGATAAGAAAGGCAACAACATACACGTTCTCCTGTCCAGATGAAGCACATAGTCCCATCAGAAAATAGGCGGGACTTGACTAACTACCCAAGTAGCATAGCGTAGCGCATCGATCGGTTACAAAGAGCTACATTCGTTATTAAACAGTGGAACTTACAGTGAAACGTGCCATATCTACGGTACTGCATGATTCATTAGCTATGCTGATGAATTACACCGGAAAACATGGGAAACTTCAAGCTTCCGACCGTTTCTTTATTAAAGGTGTTATCGGTAAGTAATTATGATAGGATATGCATTACTTCATTAGATGCTATTCGGACGAACCCACATTTACCGGCGTTTCAATGGTTAGTGTTNTACCTTTTACTTTTAATAATATATATCAGCGAATAAATGGTCTTCTAGAATACGCCAAATATCTGCATGAAAGCCTCTAATTACAGCAAAAGCATGTTTGAAGGCGTTCCCATTCCTGATATATATGATACACTAAGGGTAAGAGAAGATAAAACGGATTCATTCAATTAGTCAGTAAAGGACTTTGTAACCATTACAAAGCATGTGCTTCAGCCCATTGCGAGGTAGTATTACCGTGAGAAACTAAGGGATTTATAAGGGATTAGAGAGCAGGGAAGACAGAAATTATAAAACGGAATATTCAAAACTGTAGCTCTTTGTAGCCGGCTAATGGGCTACAAATGCGCTACAATTTTGGTGCTGTAGTGCATTTGTAGCTCGAATTTAGCCAGCTATTAGCCGACGACGTGCTACCTGGGTGGACACCAAGGTTCCGAATTTATATTTAAATGGAAAAATCGGGGAGAAAACCCACACGTGAAGCAAATAAATCAATGCGGCTCTATATTAGCAAATAACAAAGAGTCGTGCGTTTTGCTGAAGTCAAAAAGGAAGACTCGATGCATATACATTGTAATAAAAAAGAAGAATGGAAGTAATAGGCTTAGCAATTGGAAGAGGAGGAAAACGCCCGAAATCATGTGGTCAAGATAAAATAAAACTAAAAAAGAGGAAGTGTTTGTCATCCATGATAAAAAGTAAATGATTGGAATCAAATAGCAAGATACGAGCGCTAAGCAACGGCGAGATTAAACAATATCAGTGGGCGGAGAGTAAAGAAACGAGTCAATGGGTGACGGGACGAAACCAAAGGCAGACACGGTTTAGGATGTACCTGCAGTGGTTTGGACCAATTTGGAGTGAAATACAAGGGTCAGACCGTTTGCACAGCACTAGGCCTCACGAAGCAACACAGATTCCATGGGCAGTTCAAACTCATCCAGTGCAGCTAACAGTTGCTGTATTGCTTGACGAAGATCGTGATTAAGGAAGAAGCTTTTGCTTTCATACATCTGACTGGTAATTGGACTGACAGCGAGTAATGAGAACCAAGAGACCAGTAGATGCTCGCGAATACCACGGCACATGAGAAGCTTAATTTGCAGAGAAAATGGGGTGGTAAATATATCCGTTTAGATAATTGCTTAATTTTTGTACTAAGAACATAATACCAGAAGAAATTCCAGATAATAAATCAACGTTCTTATGCATGACCTATCGACTGTGTGCAGAGAAGCTCATTTCATTGTGTGCTTGGAATAGTGCTAACAATTTCACATGAAGAAATCCACGGCATGTGAGTTATGAAAAAAGGAAACCAATTTGCTGAGGACAAAAATTAAGAAATCTGTTATTAACAGTAAAACGTACACCAATGGTTTAAGAGCCATTTCAATATGAGTCCCTAGATGAACAATAAGTATCTTCAAAACAGATGTTATGTAATTGCAGAAGAGCGTTATTATCGTTATTATTACTTACTTGGAATCGACCTTCTTTGCCCAGAGTGGCACCCAGTCGCGCAACCTGTTGCACATGCGTGACGAAATCTATTAAACTCTGTCTCATAGAGGCGACGCAAATACGATTCGCCTGCATTGCCGAGTAAGCAGCAGCAGTAGTCATATTCGCTTCATGGGGAGGTAGCTGATATAATGCAGGGGAAGAGTACAATCGGCTGGTGGATGGAGAGTTCGGCTGCGAGAAAGCATAACCCGGACGTTCGGACTCTCGACGCAAGTACCAAGCCAACTGTTCACGGACACTCTGACCCTGGACCGCAGAGAATGATGGCGACGGGTGCATCATTTTTGGTGTGAATGATCCCAACCCTGGTGGATATCGATTACGTGGGGGACGGGGAAGACTGTTTGTGGCATAGGAGCCCGGATCATCTAGGCCCACTTTTGGGGATGGAGGAGTTGACTGAGTTGGGAGAGACAAACCCAACTCAGAGGCGAATAATCCAGCAACGCGTTCTATAAGCAAAGGGTTCAAAGAGTGATTCCTGAGCACATGTTTAAAGTGAATGCATAGCAATCACACGAGATCTATAGACGGGACGGATCTCACTGAAAAACTTGGGCGTCGTGCTCATGATTATTGAAGACATTACCTGGTCTTAGCCATGACAAACGAAAAACGTATCGCAAATACTTCGGTTCATGTTTGAAGCCTCTGAATTATTGCGAAATTATGATATTAACCAGGAAGAGGACATCCCGGAAAGTAGCTAAGATGACCTTTCAATATACCTAAAACTATGATAAGACTTATTGGCCTGAAATTTGCATGGCATAGATTTCATTTTATCAATGTCATCAAAAACAGGCGTGGGAAAAGGGCTCGGGAGGGTGGGTATACACTACTGTGGAATCCTAATGAGGATGGAACGACCGAACAGTGCCTAAAGGCAATTCCAGACGTACGCGGTAAGTTGAAATATACAACCAAGTGAAATCATATGCTCAGTAACTGAGCACTGCCTGCTCAATTGATGAAACGTGCATAGATTGGTCAGTCGGTTCAAGTGAATGGATTCAACGTCCAATGGATTGGATCCATCACAAGCTTGCTGAAAACGATGCTCATTATTTAGAGCAAGAACGAACCGAGTGTACACTGTTTTCAAGGCTGTTTGGTGATATAAGAGACTTGTGATGAACCGTCTAATTCCTGGCTGAAAAGGTAGGAGACTCCCTTGGGACTGTATGAAGAGAGAATCTGTCATCACTTTTGTCATTCTGGTTCTTAACTAGAGAGAAGACCATTTGCTTCATCCGGATGCAAATTCACGTTGTACAGCATTAAAGTGGATTAAAAAAGCAAGGTGAAACCGACTTTGAACATTTCAAACACTGAAAATAACAACCAATCAGGTTGGCGGTGGTGTGGATAGTAACATGCACGAGTAAATAGTGGACCAACCCAGGAAGTCCCAGACGTAGAACCGGCGTTGAAATAGGCGATTCGATCGAAATCCGTAATTAAATACCAGGCTGAGACAGGACACCAGTCCATTCTGACCACACCACAGCCAGGTCAATGTGGAAGCATTCTGTCGTCCCGGTTTGCAAAAGTGCTTCAACAACCTATTAACTGCATTCGCAACGTGTTCGTGAATACCCATTGGGCTTATATTACCTAAAAGATAACAACATGAGGAATGCAGGAGAGATTAGATACACAAGGATGGGGAAACATTTCAACGGGAAAAAATCCTATAGAACTGAAAGGATATATCTTTGGTTAGAGCAAAACTCCAAAAAAAACAGCAAACGAGTGAGTTTAGAAGATTATTCTAGGCTGTGCCACAAACTGCGCCGGAGGACGGAAGCAAACATAATTGGGATACAAGTGCAATAAAAAACAAGGAACTGAGAACGTGAATTGCAACGTTCAAACTAAATAAAACTTCAAAAAAATCGTTTGTGGAAAGGATTACGCGAGTTGTCACGACAAGGTTGGAGCACATGTATTTTGACACCTTTAAAAATAGATAAAGAAGATACACGTTATGGTTCCATAATCCAATTAGCGCGGTTTCGCAGTTAACGTTTCACTTTTATACATTCGAGACCTAGGGCTTTATGCGCTTCCGAATGGACAGTGCGAGGAACGGAGTTGATGGTCTGCCAGAGTATGAAACGAGGCACCAGATTCGGACTAGTGCAGCAAGAGGAAAAAACATTTCGATTTCACCAACTTGTCAGACTCACGTGAATCAAACGAGCGCCGATAAGCAGCAGGCGACTGACAACGATTAGGAAGCTTGCACACGCCATCCCCGGGATCTGAGGCCATGGCGGTGAAAATAAGCTCTGGTAAAACGTAAACGATAGGCAAGAAATCAGTGGATAGAGCACTGAGTATCTTTATGACAGGAAAAGGCGAAAAATACAAAAGATGAAATACCTATTGCGTTAGATCAGATTTGACTTTAGCAATATTTCGAAAAACTCAAACTGCAAAATGAAAACCACACAACACGCCGATTTGAAAGTTGAATGTAACAAGTTTATGTAGTTATAAGCTCGCGACAGATACTGTAGAAATATTTGGAACTTTTAGATGAAAATGGTTCACATATTGTCATTGCCTTCTGCAATGACAACGACAACAACTAGCGTGTTGCAACTACGTTTAACCATCTGGTTTTGACCGATGGCTTAGGAGCAGTATAGCCGTGAAACATCACCGATTTCATAAACATTGTTAATCAAATAAGAGAACCGATGGATTCGACTGCATCGCATTTCACAAAGAGTACATCCAGAAATGCCGTGTCGATGTATGGGATCCTAGATAGATCTGAATAAACGCATTTTACAGTGTATTTCATCTAGAGATTGTCTGGTTAGAAGTACGTTTCAAACCTCGTTCATTTAGTTTACGTCTAATCTTCCATCACCAACACACTAATGGACAGTTGGTTTCAAATGTGTGGATCTGAGCAGTATAAAGTAAACTTCCATAATTTTGTCAATTGCGACAAGGATTTCGGCGGCATTTCAACGAAAAACAACGATGAACACTCTCAAACTGCATTCATTTGAGAGCCCCCTTCAACACAATTGATCCTGTATTGGTACACTGATGTCGTCGCTTTAGGATAAATCGATTTTAGAATACTACTCAGTATTGGTAATGTTATTTATCCCGATATGTATGATCAGTCGAGAACGCCATGTGTATGAAAAGAGTTTGTCTCAGAGAGTGATGATGGCACACAGGAGATCATTAAGTGAGAAAGGGTTCTCAGGAGGAGTGCATACTGCATACTGCACACCTACTATGAAGATTTGCGCTGAAATAGTGCGTAGAATTTAATCCTGAAACAGATGTGAAGGTGGCTGCGTACCGGAGACACAAAAGGGGGGACTCAGCAGTGGGACTTCTCGGAAAAAAAGAAATCCATAATCAAATTTTGTTCCGTGTCGTAGTTCAGACAGGTGTCGCACAAAAAGATGGATGATGACATCGGTTATTTATGCTTTAACTATGTTGGTTTAGTTTTCTGAAGGTCCTCTCCAAGGAGCAAAGCTGTACGGTTCCGACGTTAGCTCTAAGAAGCGGACAATAGCATGGAAAATACATATAAATGAGAGCACGTTTTGATTTTCCAAAGAATAAAAATACCCAAGAACCCAATACACAGTCGAATGGAATGCAACGTGCCTCACGACACGAGAGACTATCAGATGAAAAACGGTCTGTGCGCAATTTGTTCGAGGGTTAGAGAAGCCCGTAATCACCAAATTATGTCAGATGTACTTGGTCGGAAGAAATGAGGTGAGATACAAATGCAGACGGGCGAAAAAAGGGCGTGACAACTACCGTTGCCGAAATAATATTGCGAGTGAGTGTGTGCAAGGGGATCACAAAAGGTGCGGGAGGGTCAAAAAGTGCAACAACTTGCGAAGTACGTTTTTATACGGGGAATAAGAGAGCCTACAAATCAAGAGTTAGACATGTTACTTAATAATTCATGTTCACCGCTAGCACCGCAAATCGAATGGATCACTTACCATTTAACTGTAACTGATAGGGATAAATATAAATTTTGAGCACTTGGAACATCAGAGGATAAAGAAAAATAAAAAAACGTCAGTCATTGGCGGTATTTGAGTGATTAGGTACCGTCACTGTCAGTTGTTAGTAAGAGAGAGTAGATCCAAATGATCGGGTGCATGGAAGATACCCTGCATGTGTAACTGCGAGATCAATTATGCACCATAAGTATTGTATCAGATTGGCGGTGGTTATGATCCTCAGAACAAAGACGCAGAGGCCCTGAGTTTGATTGCCGCCACCGCCACCCATTCTCCCCATCTCAGTATTCCCCAGGCAGCGTTTGTACGGCCCCGACCTCTTTCCGGAAAGTTGACTGTAGATCGGTAAACCCAACGAACATTAAAATAACTATATATAGTGATCTTCCAAGCGTGGATATTTTCATGCATCGACCGATGGTTTGAGTGAATGCCTAGTATCTAAGGAAAACGCGCTCCACAATCACGGAGAAAGCCAATTATGGAGTCTAACATCTGATGGAATCTATGGCTAAGGTTTTTAACGAGCTGTTTGTGAGCATTTTTCAACAGTTAGCACACCTGTTAATAAGTAACGAAACACGATAACGAGACATAAAACTTGATGATGAACTGACAGATATAACAGCAGTTTTCAACACCACCAAGGGTAAATAAGAAAGGACATTACAGAATACGCAATTTTTCTAATATTTCCTGTTCTAGTAGTGCTAAATTAGGTAACTGAGAGAAGGAAACTAACAATCAAGAATGTAGAAGATGCATCTTTTGCCATCAAGCGCAAAATGTCAGACATCGGATATACGTCCCCATCACAAAATACAACTTGGGAAAATTCGAATGAAGCACATTTTTCTGCGTCTGCGTCTACTGCAAATATATGAGCCCTATATTTGGGTCACGTAGTTTATGTCGATGGATATAAGTGCATTGCGATTCCATTTGCTACGCCAACACAGTAAGAATCACTGAAAGGTAAATGACAGCACGAATAAGCAAGAACAAAATAGAAGTGTGGTCACGGTTCCCGGAGAACTGATTTTGATAGCTGTTTAATAAGAGTAAACTTTATCGCCAACGGCTTAGAATGGTGATAGGAAGCTGTAGGGCCAACCACCCACTGTGCTCCGCCGTATCTATCGGCACAAATAAAGCTTGCCATGGCTAATCATGCAGTGCAGATATTCGGTACCACAATATGGCACGCTTTTCGTCATACTAATAAAGGTTTGTGCAAAACTGATGCAATCACTGTGTTTCTTCTCCTAATATACAAACCTATATTCAGGGCAAGTGCCTTTTTGAAGCCAGCATTAAAAGAAGGAAAATTTTATAAGCGATGGAAATATTTTTGACGACCAACGAAGGGCAATGGAAATCTATTTCGCCCTGTTTGAGATGCTTATAAACACATTCAACTAGTGGGGAATTGACGATCTCCCAAGGAGTGAAACCCATACCACGATCGTCAACAGTACCTGGTGCATGAAGTATTCCATATTTCCTTCTGTTAACGACAAATTTTGTTTTGTACGTGCACCCAATTATCTGCCAACATTCACTTAATTCACCATCAATTATCCGTAGGCCAATACATAAACTCAGCTTGAATCAGTTTGTACAACCATTAACCATGCACCTTCGTGCGCCGGTTTCGCTTGCAGTCTTTTGGCCTGAACAGTAAGAGAAAGACAGGAAAGTTGAAATTAGATTCGAATAGAAACGGGAGAGAGAGCTATTGAGAAGACGCACAAACGCCATTGCGTACGACAGTCAGACGCATCACTGTGTCTCAAACTACCGATTACGGCCATCCCGAGGTCCCTATCCAGGGAGCCTAACAAAACTTATGTGACCCAGACTCCTGGTTAGGGTTTTCATGCACTCGTGCCAGGTCTTAGATTGACCACCCTTGGCTTTCTTCCATCCACTACCCGCTTCGAAGAACATCTCGCTCGCCGCGGTAAACTATCTGATGACATGCGTAACACATG